CCAGCAGGTCTCCACAGAGCTGAGGACACTGAGGTTAAGGAGGCTTGAGGGCCAGCAATGTGGAACAGAGGGAGGGAGGGCATCGCAGAGGAGGCTGGGGGCCTGTGGCCTCCATTTGCCTCTGCACCCCCTGCTGGCTGGCCTCCCCGTGTAGAGCCTGTTTCCTCATCTGACAAATGGGGTCCTGAGTCCTCTCCTGCTGGTATGTGGACCCCTGGCTAAGCTCCAGTGTGTGTGGTCACTTGTGGCCCTGAGGGCAGTTCATTGGAAGGACCACAGGAGATAATGGGAGGGAACACGCTGAGCCTGAGCAGTTTGGGGGCCTGAACAGATGGCCACTGTCACTGTTATCATTTGCCATCTAGCCCAGGGTCCTTTTTTAAAAAATATTTTTTAGTTGTAGATGGACACAGTACTTTTTATCTTTGTCATCCTAGGTGACGCTCTACCGCTGAGCCCCAGCCCAGCCTACACCCTGCCCCATCCTTTTTAAACCAATCAGAAGTCAAGCCCTTACTCAGGTGGATTTTGCCTCCTCTTCCTCCTTTGTCCTTTTCTTTCTTTTTTTTCTTTTTCATCTTTAATTTAAGAGACAGGATCTCCCTATGCTGCCCAGATTGGCCCTAAGCCCCCGGGCTCAGGTGATCCCTCTGCCTCAGCCTCCTGAGCAGCTGTGTAAGATTAATGTCCTCTTTTCTCAAAGTTAAGCCTGTAGAGTGAGTTTCCTAACAAGCAACAAAAATGTGTCTGCGGTAATCTAATCAGGTTAAGGTTGAAAGTAGCCATTTGGAGCATCAAACAGAGCTCCCTTTGGCCTCCTCTTCCGATCACGTTGCCTGGAGTGTAGGAGGTCATCCACCAACTAGAGCCCTCCCACTGCCCTCCCAATTTTAAATTAGTCCCTGGACAGGGCCAGGGGCAGTGCTGATTGGGGAGCAACACCTTGCTGGCTTGCCAGATTTTCTGGTAGCACACTCTTCTGCAGAAGTAAAATCTGCCTTGCTTGATGCAGGACAGATAGGCTGGACACCTGGGGAATCTTCAGGAAGCAGGTTTAATTCTGCTCTAGTGACCCAGAGGGGTTACTGCCGAAAAATCTCTAGACCTTGGAGTCTGGAAATTCTTTGAGATTTATTTTGAGTGGGTGGTTACATAACAGTCACTTTTTTTTTTTTTTCTAAGAGAGAGAGAGAGAGAGAATTTTTTAATACGTATTTTCTAGTTTTCGGTGGACACAACATCTTTATTTTTTTATTTTTATGTGGTGCTGAGGATGGAACCCAGCACCCCGCGCATGCCAGGCGAGCGCACTACCGCTTGAGCCACATCCCCAGCCCCACATTCACAGTCACTTTTTGTTCTACATTCTTAGGTTGGACAGAGGTTGCACCAGTTTTTACCAAGGAAAAAAGAAATAGTGATTTTGCACAGCAACAGGCTCCATGGCAAAGCCAGCTTTTATAAGGACAAAGCTTCAAACCAGCTGAGGTCTGTGCAGAAGTCCTGTTGACATTCTTCATAAGAATCTCGAGGAGAGAAGCTTTTGTGTTACGATTATGGTGGGGGTCCTTTTGGGGGCAACATCATGCCAGTAACTTTTGAGCACCTGTCTGATTTCTTTTTCTAAAACAATACCTTTATTTTATTTATTTTTATGTGGTGCTGAGGATCGAACCCAGGGCCTTGCACATGTGAGGTATGCGCTCTACAGCTGAGCCACAACCCCAGCCCCACCTATCTGATTTCTTGTGGCACCTGGGATAACAGGCTGTGTCCCACCTCCTGCTCCAGTGGATTATTACCATGGAACTCTGCACAGTAAGTACGTTTGAAGCCAGAATTAGACAGGCAGTCGGTATAGATAAGTAAATCTAAAGTGGCACCCCCTTTCTCCACAGAAAAGTCACCAGCACTCTAGGTGACTAGAGTTACTAGTTTTTCACAAACATATCCAGTGTAGTAGTTTGTAGAAATGTGCGAACCAGGCCTCTGGCCTTGAGCTGGGCTTCACAGAGATGTCTACATTTTTAAGATAAGTTACAAATGGGCCCATGGTAACAGCTGGCAGGGGAGGAAAGAAAGAGGAGAAGAAGCTCTCCCCTTCTCAGGGGTTGTCCTTGAAGGGTTAACTTTCCCAGAATAGTGAAAGAAAAAGCTGCTTTTATGTGAACTTCTGAGCCCCTCCCCTTACATGCTGGGGATAAAACTCTGAAACTCCCTGAACTCGGGGTTCAGGGGATTGATTGGTTACAGCAAAGGCTGTGCCCCCCTGAACCTGGCTGCAGCCAAATAAAACTGTTTCCTGCTGTCTTCGGTGCCTTGCCTCGCCTCTTGGTCCCTACAACAAATCGAGTCAGGTGGATCAAGGAGGCCAATTTTGAGAGTCTGGGAACTGGAGACTGTCCCCTGAGGGACTGAAATGTTAATTCCTCAGAGCCCTACCTCTACCCTTATCAAGAACCTGCCCCGGCTCCAACCTGTTGCTAAGGCAACCTGTCCCAGGAATTGGGCCTCCCAAGGGGAGCTGTAAAGTTGCTAATTAATGTGTCCCGGGCTGCTCCATCCTGCCCTTCCCCCTACAACCCACCAGGCTCCCACCTCTTGACCCTCCCACGGAGCATTCCTGGGCCTGGTCACATCCGCAGGAAGGAGAGAGATGAAGGGGAGAGGGCGGGAGAACAAAGAAAGCCTAGGACATCTAACAAGGCAGAGCACCTCGCTCCTGGGGACACCAGGACACCAGCTCTGGCCCCTTCTTCCTCCCCCGAGGAGTCTATGTTACCCCTTTCAAAATAAACCCCGCTTTATCTGCTTGCTTCTCTAATGTTCAAACTTCAATGTGTCGGGGAGAACTCGTCACCGGTAACTGGTGGTGTCACTTTCACCCACTCTGACCCTGGATTTGATCTATTTTGGTGGTGTTAGGGATTAAACCCGGGTGCAGTCCACACTGAGCTACGTTCCCAGCCATGTTCCCCCTTATGTTCTTTTTATACCTTAATTTTGTTTTTCTGCAGTGCTGAGGATCGAACCCAGTGCCTCCCACACACCAGGCAAGTGCTCGGCCTTGCACACAACCCCAGCCCCAGCCTTTTTTTTCTATTTACATCTTTTTTTTTCCCCAAACAGGATCTCCCTATGTTGTGGAGCAAGTCACTCAGAAAACTCACCAAATCCCAAGTTTGCCATATTAAAGAGTCCTTATTCCAGGCTGGGGACATAGCTCAGTTGGTAGAGTGCTTGCGGCACATGCACAAGGCCCTGGGTTCAATCCCCAGCACCAAAAAAAAATGTCTTTATTTTGACCAGTCAGGACTGCTACCTGCAGGACCAAGTTGTCTCCTCAGAAAAGCAGCCCCCACCTTTAACACATCAGGATATTTAAAGGCCAAGACTGCAAAAATGCAGTTAGGCTGGCAGTAGCAACCAGCAAGCCAGCCATGAGTGAGAAACTAACGTGGCTCCATTTTTAAGAATAAATAAATAACAGCAGCTTCTACCTAAGGCCTGTCCTAAGGAAGGAGGCCTGACCCTTGTTCTTGGAAAAACCCACAGAGCACTCCTAAGCAACATACCCACCCTGCTGAGTTGTTTGTCTGTAAATAACAGGAGAGGTCTGCGGTGCCAGGTGTCCCTGACTCAGTCAGGCTAGGTGAGGACCCATGGCAACCCCCTAGCAACCTCCAATCAGCATGAGACAGGGAAACACCTGGGACACCAGATGACCCCCAAGTAGTTTATGGTGGTTGATAACATGTTGGGAAACCATGTAGTTCAGCACGAACACCCCTCTTGGCTTAAACCAATCAGTTCAAATGAATCCCCCTCTGTACTAACCAATCACCCCTACCCAACTTGTTCCCACCATTGAATGTGCAAATCAATGTTATTGAGTTATTGTTTGACTTTCCTGCTGATGCTGTGACGCATAGAGTATCCCCCCCAAACCTATAAAATCTCACTGAACAAAGGACCAGGGCTCACTCCCTGGGACCGCTGCGTCCGAAAGGTTGTGAGCCCAGGCTCGATCTTGCAATAAAGACTCTTGTGTGATTGCATCGGATTCGGCTCCTGGAGGTCTACTGGGGTCCCAGGAATCTGGCATAACACGAGCAGCAGCTGAGTAGAGCCATTAGCAAAACAATGCAAGGTACTGAATCATATTTATAACCACAATTAAAAGAGATAGATCAAAATGTTTCCAGTTGAGTACCAGCAAAGCGCTCTGCCTTGTGACACAACTTGCGACCTTGGCGGAACATCTAATTATTCAATTATTATTTCCCGACAAGGTACACGGCCCAAGCTCAATAAAATAAAGCTCAATGAGTAGGATTTTACATCGTTATCTTGTGTTGTCAAGTATGCTATGCTAGGCAATTAGGAAAGGTGCGGAGGTGTGGTTGGAACAAAGGTAAAACATTTCTTACATGATACTGCGTCTCAGCACCCTGAGAGTGGAGTCAGGTAGGTCCTTGCCCATACAGCCTGGCTCATAACACCTAAATTGGTTGGGCTGGCCTTTAACTTGTGATCCTCCTGTCCAGCCTCTAGAATGGCTGGGATCACAGTCCGCACCACCATACCAAGCTCCCCTGAGCCTTTGGACTCCCCATGTTTCTCCAACCTGTCTCCTTCTCCATGTTTTGCTAATGTTTTCAGAACACCCAAAGTGCTGGGCAACGTGCCTTCCAGCCAGACCCTCCACTAGCATCCTAGGGGGGGTTTCTGGCCCAAGAGACCCTAACCCTACCCCACCACTCCTGACGGAAGGGCGCCTGTGCCTATTAATACATTTCTGGGAGAGCCGGGCTTCTGGCTTGGAGTTGATGTAATTCGCAGGTCCTGGAAAAGTACTTCAAGGTGGAGGCCAAAGACGCCCTGTGGCAGGAGGGCCCCTGCTGGTTACCCACAGCCTGAGTTCACTTAACTTCTCTCCTGATCCCCCGGCGGCCCTGCAAGACCACTTCTCAGATGAGAACACTGAGGCCCAAGTAGGCTCATTGTTCTGTCTCCAGGGACAGAAGAAAGAGCGGCAAAGGACACTAGGGGGAGGGGAGCCCTTGTCGACCCCTCCCCCAGGGCCCTGGTCAGAGCGGGACCGGTTCTCCGAGGTGATTACTTTGTTATTCACGCCCAGCACCTCCCCCCTCTACCCGCGAAACACCCCGACTGGGGGTTGGGATCGGAGACCACCCCGCCCACCCGACCTGGAACTCCGGATTTCTCCTCCCTCCAGGGTCTCCCAGCCGCCTCCCCGTGGCCCCTGGCCCAGCGCAGGGTGAGCAGGCCCCCCTCGGTGCGGAGGGCCGCGTAGCTGGGCGCTTGGGGTAGCCCCCAGGATCCAGGGCGGGTGCGCTGCGCGCTGCTTCTAAGGAGCGAGAAACGGTTTTGACCTTGGCGGAACCAGTTACTGAGATTTCAAAACTTGTTTGAAATTCCTGCCCGGGGTTTCGACCTCACCCAGGCCTGGCTCTCCAAGACCAGATAAGGACCCTCCCTAAAACCATAGTGGCGCCTGATAAATCTGACTCTCCATGACCAGATTGATAAACTGGAGTTCCGGACCCCCCAAAAGACCACCAGAGACCAAGATCCATGTAAGCAGCAAAGAGGCGTTTATTGCCAGCTAGCTGGGTCCTCCCGCACACAGCAACTGGTGACGCTGAGAGGCCCCTAATCCAGGGTTTGCAGCAGTTTTGTACACTCTTTGGGGAAGGCAGGGACCCCATATACATCATAGCATCTCTTAGCAAATCATCACACACTGCGGGAAAATCCAACAACTCTAAAACTTGATTAGCATATCAAGTGGCGGAAAGAATCTGGAAATGATTATTGGTTAGTTCAAGGGGTGTCGCAAGGGGGTTAAGTGCCAAGCTGCAGGGCTTCTGGTTTAGATATTGGTCACCGCACCTAGGTGGGGGGCAGCTAGGTGGGGGCCGTCTGGAATTTCAGATATTTCGATATCTTGGCCTGTCTTAGGCGATCACCTTCTGCGGCTTTTCCAGAATGGTTTGCACCGAGCTTTCTGTGGTATTTCCTGACTTTAGGACTGCAGTAGGTCAGGGGTTAAGTTCCAGAGGAAAATGAGGTTCCAAGTAGAATGAGGTTGCTTAGGACTTTCACAGATAACAACCCTCTCTGAAACCTCAGCGGCGCCTCATAAATTCTGATGTTGGGATCTGAATTTACTCCCTACCTTGAAATATCAAGCCACGTGGATCATCAGCGTGCTAACTGCCCTTGATTACGTTTGCCAGAACCCTGTTAGCTGTAAGTTCCCAGACACCCCCCTTTGTAACTTTTTGTGCTATAAAAACCTTTTCTTCCCCGAGAGCTGGGCTGTTCTCTAGCAGTCGCTGGCCGGCTCTCTTTGTAATATAAGCTTGCTTTTAATTTGGTTTAAAATTGGAGTTGGTGGTCTTTTCTTTCAGTCGTGGTTCTGAAAGACCCACCGATTCCCTGTCCAAGAAAGACGCACGAGGCACTG